TGGCGCTTCTCGACTGCTTATAAGGTCAGGTACGCCGTGATGATCGCCTTCATATTTCCGGGATACTAGCCGCTGAGTGTTCCATTTAGTTCTCGATCTGCTATGAGAGCTATAGATCACTGTTTATCATGCTCGTCCAACTTACAGCATCCACGGTTTTAATAATGAACCCCTGCATTAACTTGAAGGCTGCAATTGACACGCTGCAAGGTGGGCGAGGTTACTGGAGAAGGCTATTCTTTTTCTGCAGTCCCCTAGGGAACAAAATTATCGAAGCTGTTCCATCAAGATAATTATGAGAAAGCCTCCGGGCAGAAATCACTGATATTCCTCGTTCTTTCCTACCTCGTTTCCAAAGGTCATTCTTCAGTTCTCATTGAACTCAATTCTCTTATGCAAGTGGAAGGACGCTGAGTTCTTTGCTGTACAAGTGAAAAGACACTGAGGTGAACGAATTTGGTCCGGTTTACTTGTGGGACGCTTACTCTGGTTCAGCGACAACAATCTCCAATGTTTGTCTATTTAACTCATTTTCCTCTCATTATTTATTTCTTCTTTTTCTCTCATTTTTATTTTTTGCTAGGTAACATACCCTTTGATGTGTCACAGCTGAGTTTCATCACTTTTTCATTTTCCAGGCCTGTTGCCTTTAGCTTTTTGCATTGTGTTTTCCTTTTTGCTTGGAAGTTTACAGTGTACAGGTGAGAGTGTTTACCGACTTTCCGTTGCAACTTTCTTTGCCCGCTTGGTTACCAGCTTATTGCCTTGTAGAAACCGACTACTGGAATAAACAAATACACCTCCTAAATTATTTTCTGTTAGTCGTGATTTGTTAGAAGAATTTGCTGTACGAGATTGTGCGTGGAAGGACACTTTCACTGAGACAGCCTTCAAATGAAGGAAAGTGCCTGTCGGAAGCAAAGGTGTTTCCGCCCACTCTCATCAATGATCTGGCTTTCGAGCGATCATATTGAGAATAAGGGGATGTCTACCTGAGATTCAGCGTACTTGAGAATCGGCAATGGCCATCGGCCAACTTTCAGCGCATAAAACAACCCAGGTTGCATCTAAATTTGACTTACACCACGTCGGTCTCAGATTAGAGTTCACGTTGCCAGCACGTCTGGGATCATTTCTTTTGAGTCGATTCACTGGCCAAATAGGAACCTGTCGAGCTTTCAACTATTTCAACTCATTCCTCTGTAACTGATTCCACGGTCTCCTGTTTGACGATTAGCGAATCTAATCTCTCACGTTTCTTCGATCAGTTCTGAACTGATAGGAAAAGTGGGACCATGCTTAGGGAAACAAGAAGATGTTATGACTATTGGCCCTCCTATCCCCAAGACCATTTGAGGACGTGCTTTTTCTTCTTTCAACTCCTTCTGCACTATCAGGCCATTCATACCGGGGCCCATTCTTTCCGTAATCTATGAATTTGCTGCTCAGACACTTCGTCTTTGCCTTGCCAGTCGAACCTTCGCCCTTCGAAGTCCTATTACTAAGAGCATGGCTTCTTCGTTAATTTCAAGAAGGATATGCATCTTGATTCTTAGATGGTATTTATTCGAACTGGGACGCCTGACGCGAAGGAAACACATTGATCATCACCGACCGCATCTTCTCTCCATAAATAGTATGGGCAGGAGGCATCAGATCACACTTGAACATGTGAATCCTGAATGCAAAGCTCATAACAGTATGATAGTGTTCGTTAGAAAAATCCTTGTAGGTTGGGACCTTCGCATTCAACTTATACTTGCGATGGCGGATGCATTTCGAATACATATGTGTACTGCGTATAAATCAATGTTTTTAGGCTTTCAGACGAGTTTTGGTGTCAATTAGCCGACGAAAAGCTTGGATATCCTTGGAGGGTTATCCATTCTGGTTCCGTTGGCATCCAGACCATGCTTGTGTGTGGTAGTCGCCACAGGCCGCTACACTAGCTACTCATCTTCTTGCTCCATCTCTCAATACCTCCGCTCATGATTAGGATGGCTGCCACCTTTACGAATACTTAAAAAGCCTGCTACCCTAGTGGGAGAGCAACTTTTTGACTCTTTTATTTACTGTTCGTTTGTTCTGTCTCTCACATATGCTTCAAGATGCCAATAAATTAGTAGGCCCATATAGGTTTGGTTAGGCGACTCACAACCTCCTTTTCCCCCAAGAATTCTATTGTTTGAACCCAAGCTATCATACGCTGCTTGGAGGACAAGAAGATTGAGTGTCACTCAGCTACTCTCCAGCTATCCTTGCCTCTCTATGTGACCGACCTAGAATAGCTTCAAGAAGAGAGCACATTCGTTGTGAATTCGTGAACGAGCGCTTACTCGATGGAGAAAAAGTGGTAGTCGTTCGTAGAATGCTTGATAATGATTGTACATTGCAAGTTATTCTTATCAAACTTGTCCTGGGATGATGTCATGACAAACGAATCAAACCGAGGACGGGACAGCCTGTTATCAGAGTTCCTCTTCAGTACGCGATATGTTTTTCTCTATTATTTTTCGACACTCAATTTTCTCCTTGAAAAAATTGTATCAAAAGATTTCAATGTTGTGTGTTCGTTTAAAATATTACACTTCGTAGCCGCTTAGGCAATGTGGAGTTTTCGCCAGAGTGATTGAATGTCTCAGTTACAGACTTGGCATGTACACTAAACTCCTCTATGCTGTATTGTCAGTAACCGGTCTCATATGTCTCGGAGCCATCATGTCGTATGTGCGGCTGATCCTCGAAATCGATCAGTTTCGGGACGATCTTCTGAGGAGTTCCGATGAATACAAAGTAAGTTAGAAACAACCCTGATCCTTGAACCTATAAAATTGATCTTGTTTGGTGACGGTGACAAGAATCCTTATTGGTGATGTGGATCAGTCTACGATCAACAAGTAGGGCAGGAATCCATTATACTGAATTTTAACAAATTGAATGGAATTGCGAATACTGTCCGCAAGCTGTTGGGAAATCCTCCAAAAAGAGGGTCAGGAGTTTAAGGCTGTCCCGATTTCGGTCTTTCACAAGATTTGGTTCCTTACTTGCCGACTAATCAAGCATTAACTGAACGGACACTAAAATATTATAGCAGAAGGGCATTAATGTTGTGAGGTTCATCCATCTTCCAACTCGTTTCCCACTCATTCAAGCCTTTACCACAAGTACAAATGATGCTGCAGGTGCTGTCATCTCGAGTATGGGGAGAAATCGTAATGGAGTCCGGTAAGGCAGCAAGAGTCAAGCGGTCGCAACCAGGTACGTGCTTTTTTATGGGTCCTTCTTGTTATCATCAGAACTTTTCCCCACCAATTACTCTCCCGGCATTGGATCATTTCTTCTTTCTTTCGATGTAACTGCTGTCGTATGTCGTAACAACTGCAGTCGTATGAGAGGTTACCTTGGCCGATCTAGTGGCTCCAAATCAAACACTCATTTTCTTCAACTGAGAAAGTTCAAGCGTATTTGTAGCAACAAAGTAAGAATTCGAAGGCAATGCAAGCAAAACGTTGTTTGGGACCGACAAAACAAAGGCCCTGGTCCCCAAAGAACAAAATAACCAACAAAAAAAAGCATCATGCCCAAGGTATTTCGCTGAAGTCATGGCGCTCGGCGATTCTTTGTTAGTTGTCCCATCCAGAGCTATGTCTTAATTTGTTCGATATTCTCGCTGCGTGCCGTGAAGGTCTAATGCATCTCCGTCTCTACATTTTGATTTCAGAGGATGTGCGAGCTGTGGAAATAACTCCCACAGTCCACTTTCCGCTTTCCGGGAGCAGATATGCTGGTGGTCTGTTGTGATTGAAAAGGAAGACAGAACATGATATGATAGATCGCTGAAAAAGCGCGTGCAGTCCAAAAGACTCGATTTCGCGACGATTCGAGCTATCCCTCACCAATCGCTAACACCCAATCGCCCTCACATTTCCTCATTGTTGGACCAACACGGGTGAGTGGGGCGTGCCTTTTGACTCCCGGAAATGCAACCTTGAGCTAGCTGTCAGAAGTAGTGTATGCTTATAAATTAAGTTGCTTGGAGGAACTTTGTCTCACCTTCTGATAAGGTGCTTTATTAATAAAGAGAAGCTGATCAAAATGGTAAAGTCTTGATCGGAGAAGGCGGTGATCGATCACGTCTAAGGTGTGCCCTCCGCCTTCGACTTCCTTTCAGAATCGTAGCGGCGAAAAGAGACGTATGTAGCTTATACAATACTTTTGCGGTGGCCAGCTAATGTTCAAAACAATGCTTTTATCCTCCTAGACGAGTGTTGTATCAATTGACCGACACCGGAGAGATGGAAGGCTTGTTTGGCTTAAGCGAATATCGGTCCGAGATTTGAACCCGTTACCGTGCGTGTGAGATAGCGATCGCGTTCCACTATACCACCTCCGCCTAGAGAAGCGCATTAGATAGAATATATCCACCAGCATTGTCGACACATCTGGCCATCGTTCAGGCATCTTATAGATGACGTTCCTCCAAAGCGCAGGCTAGCGAGTCAAAGAACGACGTCAACTCAATTACGACTTGAAAGCGAATCTTAAAGTTTTGTGCAAAGTAACGAGAAAGATAGAAGAACAGCCTAATGTGGAAAGGAGCGGTGTCTCATCTACAGGGGATTATTGTTCAGCGTCTAATTATACTGCACGCGTTCAGACTTCGTTTTACTTCACCCATGGTGTAGCGCTGGGTTCAGACTTATTGGACCGTTCCTTTAGAATGTTTGACGACCCGTTTAACTCCGTAGCTGTTGTGTGAAGAGATTGGCAGTGATAGTGCCAACCTTCTTTACCGAGCAATTTTCAATGTATTAGCGCATGTACATCTCACCAGATTGAAAACATCATCATCATGGGAGAAACTTCTTGAGGAACCTCTTTTGACGTTCCCCCGAAGCGAATCACTGTGCTTTCCCAACAAAGTTGTTATAGCGGATCCACTTTTTATAAAACAAATTAATCAAAAATGCAAGTCTCGACAACCTAATATACGTGCATTTCTAGGCAACTAGTTCAAGATTGTGTTCCTAAAGAATCAAACGGCATGCTTCAGTCACCAAACCCTCACTCGCCCGAGACAAAACTTTTCCGCCTTCGAAATATTTGGGACAAGGTAGTCCTGAGCTAGGCTTCAGCACCTGTATAGGTTGCTACAGAGCGTTTACAGCCAAAACGTCACTGATTCCCCATCTAATCTTATCTTTTCTATTATGCACAATTCCTCTATTTTTGCACCTCAATCATGAAAAAAAATTGAAAAATCGGCTGAAAAGACATACACTGTATAAGGAATACATCCATAGCTTTTCTGCTTTGAGATTTGAGATATTCACTTGACTGACCCGTTGTTTTCAGTATTTGCGGACTTCGATTGCCCTGCTGGTCGTCCCGGACCACCTGGAGAACCTGGATTACCCGGAGGTGAACCTGCTTTTGATTTTTTTTTTGTGTTTACGACACTGTTGGAAATTTCATTGGCGACAAAACCCACTGGAAGAAACCATGCTTTCCTACCAGTAACTGACAGGGGAATTTTAATCCGCTCTGTTGGTGGACTTACTTTCTGAAGAGGTGAGGTCAAACCAATGGCAACAGCTTTAGTCAGCAAAAGAGTGGAAATGCGAACAAAGGGATAAGAATTGCAATATTAGTACCAAGGTTTACTGAAGAGATGGATCAGAGCCTGGTGACTATTCCAGGTTATTTGTTTTTGTTGTTCAAGGGCGAACTTGGAGTTGCCAGTCAAGATCGCTTTTCGTTGCGGGTTGCTAATTTTAACAATTATCTATTCTCTTTTTTTGTTTACTTGAACTTGTTCTCGGAGATTAAAAATTAGAAAAAGAGTAGATTAGTAACAAAGGAATTGAAGGAAACAGGTTATAAATTCGGAGTTCGTTCATGCCTATCCCAAGTTCACGAACGCTCTTTATTTCAAACGAGGGGGTTTTCAGCTTTGAGCAAGCTTGGGAAATATGGGGGGAAAGCCACAAGGAAGGCTTTAAATCCTATACAACTCTCGATCTCCAGAGAGCTTTGGAAGGTTCTGAAAGAATCTAGGAAATTTGGCATTGATCCGTGTCGACCAACAATTTCTGATCACTAACTAGTGTTTCGGCCATGAGGCCTTCGTCAGAGCCTGTCAACAAAAAACATTTGAGATCAATTCTTATCAAACGAACTTCCAACAGCTCAGCTGAATTCACGCGTGGGCTTTAGACACCTAGGGCAGTCTCGTGAATCGCGACAGATACCCCCTTCAGATGTAGAGAAGAAGAGTTGTGAACCACTTTTTAAACTGCCTTCATAACCGTTTTGCAGTGTGAGAGCCTCCGAAATGAAAACGGTGGCAGTTGTAGCCCAAAAGGTCAAGGAGGTGGGCTAGTTTGTTAGATATCTCAGCATTCATTTTTTCCCACTCATTCTGGGGATTTCCGCACATATCTCGATTGCTTCTTTATTTTCTGCCTGGAAGTAGTGGACTCCTGCAATATTACGCATTCATAGAGAGCGATCATGATCGCTTCCGTAAGATTGGTTTCCATTGCTTTTTGCTGAAATGACTAATGCCGGTCATTAGAAGGGAAAACTGAATGGTGGAGAAATAAAGTCCTCTTTTGTGTACTTTTTTCTTCTAGAAGGAGACCATTGGCTCGACCGCTGAAACATAAACGAAATAAATTGTGAACCCAATTTCCAAATGATATATGATCCTTCTTTTAAAAAAACTAGTTTTCACCTCAGAACAGGCAAAAACTGCCCGATATAAACGCTTTGCAAGTCATGTCATGAACAAAAGGAAGTCGAAGGATGTGAGATAGAAGTAAATCCCCATGAGAAGCCCCATTAAGCATTGTATCGTGCCCATCCGGACGTCCAGCATTCTGGTTCAGAACAGAATCGCAGTGGTTTTGAATAACGACACCATTATTTGCTGTAGCTGGTCGTTGTAACATCGTAAACTGTGCCTTAAATATCAACTGCGTAAGTGCCAGTTGGTCTGGGTTCCGTGGCCCTCGTTTGAGAACCCTCCTATTAAAGATTGGTACTGAAAATGAGGTGGCCTAGCGATGTCAAAGCTTTTATCCTCTTAAACCAGTCTGGTAACAATAACCGACCCAGGTAGGATGGAAGGGTTGGTTGGCTCTACCGGGTATCTATTCATGATTTGAACCCGTGATTATGTGTGTGTGAAGTGCGCCACTTGCCTCTACACCACCTCCGCCATTGATACTAA